AACAGCAACAGCAGCAGGAACAACAACCCAGACTTTGTTTGGCACATCATGCCGCACATTGATCGATAAATTTTCCATTAAAGTTATTTTTAAATGCCGGCAAAAACAAGCCAACAACAACAACAGCAACCCGAAGTCCTCCGTTTCGTCCTTGTGCTTGTCCTCGTTCTCGCCCAACCAAGTCGAAGGCCCAACCGTGTGCCAATGCCAGCGGCAAACAGAAGGCGCAGGATAATGTACTCGTTATGCTGATAAAGTTATAAACTCATGTGGAAACCATTTGCCAGTCTTGGGGTTGACGACTCCACTGCCTCTAGCCCTCTCTCTCTGTGTGTGTGTGTGTGTGTGTGTGTGTGTATATATTTGAGTGTAAGTGTATTGGTGCTGCTGAGAATTGATTTAGTATTTCAAAATTAAAACACATGCATGCAAAATGAAGGAAGAAGGATGCGAAGAAGCCTCATCGAAGGACAGCAAAAAGCACACACCGACACATCACATCATTCTACATTACCGTATCCTGCGAGAGTTTGTGGCTTGTCGAATTCCTTTGCTCGCCGCAGAGTTATCTGATTGAGTGTGAACTGCCAATGGCCGCAGCACGCGATACCCACTCTGCCAACGCACAGTGGTGTTGAATGGTCTCCCACTAATTCAAATTCAACACTGCAATTATAAATGAGAAGACTAGCTAACAAGCAGACACAAAAACACACACTGGCCATAGAACTTTTTTTCTTTTTTCTAAAAATGTATATACAATTTATTGAATTAGTAATTGATTAATGGGGAAGACAATAGTTGTCCATAGGAAACATCTGTAGGACACACTTAAATCTATGTAAGTATATGTACAATGGAACAATATTTTTTCAGAATAAATATGAAATATATTTTATATTATATTACATATTTTACACAAGGGATCTCGTGGTGATATCCTTCGGATGGCACTTTATATTTTTCAGCTGACAGATTCAGTTTGGAAAATAATTTGTAAAAATACCTACTGTAAAAAGACCTAAGTTCACTTCATTTATTAAATACAATATTGAAACATAAAATTATTGAAAAACAATTAACAATTAACTTCAAAGCTATACAAAGTAAATTAGAAGAGTTTTCATTTTATAACAAGTAAAAAAGCTAAAGTCGGGTGTCCCGACTTTGAAATACTCTGTACATATGTTTACAATAATTATAGAAAATAAAAAAAATTAAGAAAATTAAAAAAATTTGATCGATTTTACCTCTCTCGGTATTCGAACTCACGTAAAGGGTGTATAATTGCACATTTACATAGCAATTGCGTCTGTGTGAGTGTATGTATGCCTATGCGCATCTATTCGTGTCTGTGTAAACATGTTAGCAGTCAACCAAGCAGCAACATCAACAGCCGCCGGCAGCGCTCGAGCAGCGCTGCAGCAGCAAATATATTTATGGCTATAACTTCTTGTAAAATCGGTCTATCATAGTGAAACTTGGCATACAGACACATAATAACTAACTGGGGGTATTTGGGGGTATATTTTAGTTCGAAATTCCAAGAATTACGGGAGTTAGAGAAAATCGCAATTTGCTGAGGAGAGAGGGGAGGGAGGGTAATTCCAAAATACACATTTTCTGCGTATTCACATAAGGCACCTTGGACTAAAATTTGGTGGTTCCTAGGTCTTATAGTCTCCGAGATATAGGCGATTATACGAATGGAAAATCGGGAAAACCCCCATAGGGGGAAGTGGGGGGGGGGGGGGGGAATTAAAAAAATAAAACAAACTTGCACAGAATACACATATAACGCATCTTTGTGCAAAGTTTGGTGTCTCTACCTCTTATAGTCTCTGAGATCCAGGTGTTCATACGGACAGACGGAGAGACAGACAGACAGGGCTAGATCGACTCGTCTCGTCATGCTGATCAAGAATAGTATATATACTTTGTGGGGTCTGCCACGCCTCCTTCTGCCTGTTACATTTTCAGCTCCCGCAAACCTAATATAGTCTTGTACATTTTATGAACAGAGTATAAAAATGACTTCATATTACTGTATTAGTTAGTTAACGTTATTGGATGATGCTGTGGGTGTTGTCAACAAGAATTATCAGGAATATTACATATTTGCACAGACGGGCTTCTTACAATTCCATAATTTGTTTATAAGTAGAACATAAATTCTTTTTGAACATTGAACTGAGCCGAACTCAAAGCACTTAATCATCTTATTGTAATTCACATTAGATTGGAAAGTCGAAAAGGCTTGTTAGCTTTTAGCTACAGGTGTTGTCGAGCTCTCTCGATTAACTCAAAATTACGAATTTAAGCGTTTCCCCAAAGTTCAGAGCCATATGTCCAAATCGAAGATACTGAGAACCATCGCTGGGGCACCCAGATACATACGGAGTGAAAATATCCGGAATGATTTAAATGTGGGACCTGTTAACCTCCCAACCGCCCAACCCAGCAATAACAGTTAGAGCCGTAATTCAAATATTTAATTGTAATTAATTAAAGAACTATATTAGATTAAGACTTGACTACTTATCGTAAGTCTCCGAGAGAGAAGATTCGATAAATATATAAAACTTGCAAAAAAGGTGTTGTCGAGCTGCTTTCCATATTGGCCAGCAACTGTTCCACCTCCTCATCGGAGTTATGTTATGTTGTTAACGTGTAGTTATAAAGTACGAAAATATAGGGTTTATAAAAAAAGAAAATCATTTTAATTATTCAGCAAATATTTAAATTATTATTTATTCAGGTAAATAGCCTTTTAATTTAAACATTTGAGAAATACAAGGTATTTGCATTTATTAGAATAATCTATATTTATTTTATTTGCTGCTGTATCTATTAAAAATATGTTGAAATGATAGTAATAGTAATAAATAAAGTACTTTTGTTAATATTGTATTATTAATTAAATGCACCTCCTAGGTGAAGAAGCAACTGCATATAAAATGTTGTGTTTTTTATACTTGACTGAGACCTTCCGAGATACTTGTCTTCAAACAGTCAGCCGGACGTAATGAATGGATACGCCGTATATCTTTAAAGGGTCTCATGCATATGGACGGCTATAAAAGAAAAGTCAGCCACAATTTTACTGAGTGCTATCAATCCGGGTCCCTCCCTGCGATCGACTCTCTCAATGCGCAGTTCTGTCTGTGGAAAACATTCAATAGATGCATCCAAAAAATTCGACTCTACTGGTTACGTTTTTTCCTGCATTGCCCACAGTGCAGAGCTGCCAATTTTTGTGTGCATGCATGTGTGAGTGTGTATGTGTTTGTGTGTGTGCGTGTGTGTGTGTGCACATGGGATGATCTAAAACGGAAATCCTATGGGCAGATAACTGTCATACACTTGTACACTTGTAAGGCATGCGGAAAAATGGTAAGTGCTGGTGTGCGTGAGCTCGTATGTGTTTGTGTGCCCGTGCTACTTAGGCGTTGCAGCATCACTTATTCGTAATACCCCTCCACCTGTTTCCCCCCCTGGTGGAAGGCATGCTGGCACCAGTTCTTTCTTTTTTTTACTGTCGCTTTGGTTGGTTATTGAATTAGTCCAATAAACCAGAAAAACAAGACACATGCACAAATAACCGCAAACACACAAAGGCACACACAAACACACACAAACACACACACGCACGCACACCTACACACATCTCCCCACCTTCTTCGAGGAAATTTTGCGTGAAACGCGCTCTCATTTCAATGGCAAGATGGGAACGGTTGGGCTGCCAGGCAACTCATTAGAATACATTCGGCTGTGCCCAAGCGCCATAATTGGATCCGATTGTCCAAGGGGTGGGTAAATGAGATGGGTGCCAGCTATTAGGGGTTGATCGACAATTGCCGATGTGGGAAGCTAGACGTTGTTTGTGCGCTGACTGATTTTTTATGTCACCTGTTTTAGATCAAAGCGCAGTGCTACGGTTTCAATGTGTCACTGTGTACAGGAATTGGTGCGGGGGGAGGGGTTTAAACACAAAATAGCTGCACCATTTATGAAGACCAACATATTTGGCATAATAAATGCAATTAAAAGTGAGCATTTAAATGGCTACACATGGGTGGGTATTAAGAGCACTAGATGATGATAATTTGATCCTTAAATGTGTGGTGCTCCAATCTTGTCTGTGCTGGAGACCGTATTTAATTATTTATTACTATTATTTCCAGGTGCGACAAGAAAAACCCTCATAATTTACTGCACTAGTCACAAAAACAAACAATTTTCAATTCTATTATTTTTTATTTCAAACATTTTATATTGTCTGTTATTATTTTAAAAGAACAAATTAAATTTTTTCCTGAATGGCGATGCACTACTAATTTTTTTTTAAATGTTCTTTAAATAGCTTGAACAAAGAATTGTCGTTTAGAACAGCCAAGCCTTTATTTAAATGATTGATTTTTGTAGAGGCACTAAAACGTGCTTTTCATATAGATAGCACAGTTCTCTAGTATATATAGTTTTATGCAACGTTATTAAGTTTCTTGAATATACACAAGTTCGAAACTTCACTTGGTTAGCGAATCTGGATTTGTGCTTCCCCTCTTGACATTGTATTCATATCTGGCCATATAATTGTATGTTACATTGAGTTTGTGCTGAGAAGTGATAGTCCCTGTTGTCAAAAATTTCGATACCATTACAAGCCACACTTTGTTATCAGATAAGTTTTAGCGATTAAAAGTCTGATATCTATGGGCAAAAATGACTGAGTCCACGAAAGTTGTCGCTGTAAGCCATAAGTTAAAATGTGTTGTAGGTCCCAACAGAAACCTAAATTGAAATAATTTGATTGGGGCTTGTTTTACTCTCTTAATCTTAATAACAACTGTGCACAGCACTGATGTTGTAACTAAGCTGATAGTCAATATCCCGAATTGATGCCCAAATTCTTCAATTTATCGACAAAAAAGTGTGCCTTGAAAAACGAGTTGTCATTTCCAATATATTGCTTAAATCTGAACTACAATGATTTTCGTAGAGAGATATTATTACAAGTATTAACACAAAACGAAATTATCTGTCGATAGAAAGACGAATTGGTCGCGCCATAATTTGTTCGATTTGCTCACACTTGAATCTTCACCAGTTCATCAATTTCCGATTCCAAAATACTAGAATGTCGTCAACAAACCATGAGATTACATGCATTTGTGCGTCGCTCATCTTAGCCCAAAACAATGTTCCCATCACAGTAAGTTGAAACCAGTTTACATGATTATGCATTAAATATTAATTTTAATTTCACCGAATTCCGTAGGGGGAGAAAATCTCTCGCATCTTGAAAGCAGCCGAGGTTGAATTTGACCCGTCCTGGCCAGATCATTTCGCCAGGGAAGTGGACGGTATCGATATGCAGGCTTTGATCTCCAATATACAGACCCGGGTCGGTGATTGTACCTCTGCTAGTGCACCTCCTTCTGTCTACGCCCCGGCTAAAGGTACCCAGCGCAAAAGGAGCAAAAGAATAAAGGCAAAGAAAAGGAAGCATCAGGATTCTGATGACTCTTACAATAATGAGCTTTTCCAGTTATTCGATTGAATAGAAGAAGATATATGATTCTTCAGGCGAGCATTGTGTTCATAGTATTAGTTTTATTTGTTACTATCGAGCTACTGTGAACGCTGTTAAGAATTAAAACTACGAACATTATTACATGACGCCTGTAGAGTTTGAATCGACATAATATCAAGAGTACATATATTTATACATATTATTTAAATATGTAATTAAATACATATTGCAATAATCCGATTTGGCTTTGAGTGTAAGCTTACACGTAATTCCACCATTTTACCGAAATAAACAGCCAAAACAAAAAGATTACCTGTCATTTGTTCAATGGATCGAAAATACTTCCTAATTGTTTGTCTACATTTAAATGAAATGTAAATCTCTGCCTTTGTCCCTAAATCGAAAAGGGCTAATCCAATGTTTTGTCCATCATTAAGCGAAAATATCCCAATAATATTGTAAAAGTGAAAAAGATCATTGAACTTACTAGGTACAATAAAATTTCTCCAGAATTATTAAGAAAATTATACGAAAGCATGCCTAATTGACTACAGGGCGTTGTGAAGGCAAGGGGCGGCCACATCCACTATTACACAAAATAATAAGTTTTCTAATTAATAAAAACTGAAATAAAATGAGAGACAAGTAATAATTACAATTTGTTTGCCCATAAAAATGTGTTTTTTTTTTTTGTTTTTTACGATAATGTTTATCATACGAAAATATGATTTCGGTAGAATACTTGTACTTGTATATTGACTTCGACAGGAAATAAAATCTTTTAAAATAATAATGTTATTTGCAGAACTAAAAAATCTCTTTAGTCGCTTCAATAACATGTAGTTTTAATATAATATTAACATTTGAGTGAAATTTATAATATATAAGATAAAGTAGTGATTGGGGTAACCAAGTTTATTGTAGCTGAATTAAAATGGTTCTTGGGCCAAATTAAGAGCAGTCAAACATTTTTATAATTTTGGCAGTTATCTTTTACTAAGTCTTCTTCTTTACAATGCCCATTCAACTATACGTCGCTATGCTGATCAGGGCAGCAGGCTTAGTTGAAATATGCAGCGATAATGCTACTCAAAATTCTAGTCCTTTAAAAAAATTTTTATAAATAATGATGGATCTGCGATTAAATCGTAGCTCTCTTTTTCGCTTCTCATTTATTGTAATACAGGATATTAATTTTATTATTGAATGATGTACAATTAATGGCAATCATTTCTTTGGTGGAGAAGATTGACTTGGAGTTCTATGTTGCTTCGATGAACGGGCAATCCCAGCGCCATTGTTATCTCCTGTTGCTTGTAAATGTGGGAGTCGCGTTACGGATGTGTACCGCTTGCCGTTCTCTGGAAATTTTTCACTTTGATCAAAGCGTACAGATTTTGATACCTGCGTGGCATTGTAATAAAAATAATTTTAGTTTTGTTATTGTTTCTAGATCGCTTATAACGATTTGTGACATTCGTAAATATTTTATTAATACATTTAATTATATTTTTTTGCGGAAATTTAGCCGCGATTGTTTTTAATTTTTAAGCCGCTCCCCTATTTTGAATATAGTTACAAATACAGAAAAAAGCGCTGTGTGAGGCACCGACTGCCTCAAAGTTGTTAAGCTTTAAGTCAAATAGATTTTGGTTGAAAATAAGTAAGATCTGAAGTTTCTAAAAAAAATAGTTTTGAACATGGCATGGACAGCATTGCAAAGGAAGCCCGAAAAGTATGCTTTTATAAAATTGAATTGTGTTCTGTTTCCACTCTCTGCGAAAAGGGTAGATAAACAATGAACTGCTTTTCGGGACTGCCAACTCTTAAAAAAAAAACCAGTTTTTGTCGGGAAAAAGCGTGAAATTAAACAAAAAACATATATCAAATGAACGAAAAAAAGCTTTCTTTTTTTCATTTTACAAAAAATGCTTAGAAAAATGTAGAACGTCTGTGTTTCTCTGTAAGTGAGCCAAACAATTCAGAATTTTTCCTTGTTCGAATACGCATTCATCATGAATGCATTCGCACCTTTATAAATTACGCGAACTATATATATTGATTAAAATAATGATAAAAATATTGATAAAAATAATAATGCCATGTTTCCACTTTCTACATAATAAATAAATTACAAAAAACGGGGAAAAAGTTAAATGTATTTATAAAAAGGCAGAATTTCGGATTGAGAATTTTTACTCTAAATATGATTTTAAAAACAATCAGATTGGACAAAAAAAAGCCAAACTGGCAACACTGTTGCTTTTCACCTTTCAACCAAATGGGAAGTAACCGAAAATAGAAAGAGAGAGTTTGTTCAAATCTTCTTATACATATAGAATATTAGCTGCTACTAATCGGCCGTGTGTACCTACAGTATAAATATGTCTGGTCTGACTCCACTTACTGTTTCCTTAGGTCGTTTTGGACTAGCACTACCCTTCGAGTTTCCACTTCGTTTGCTGCCTTGAGACGAAGTGGGTATACGCCTCCCACTTGCCGTACTCCTGCGAGAAGTACTAGTGTGTAGGATACTGGTGGGCGGAGGTCGGGGCGAGGGAGTGTTGGATTTAGAAGCATCTGCATTACTTTTCTTGTTAGTGTTGGTGCCTTTTTGACATTTTATGACAGTCGAGTTGCTTCCAGAGCCTCGAGAAGTTAGACGCAAGTATCGGGCTAAGTTTCGTAGAAGCTTTCGCAGCAGCAAGGGCATTGAGAGGCCAGCAATGCTGCTTATAAATTGCTTCGCGACCCCTCTATAAGAGCATTGTCCAACGTTCGATCATCTTTCACTCAAAACTGCACTATTAATAGTTGCTTCGTTGAAGGGTACACATGCAAGACCAAAAACAAGGATATCCACCGGCAAAGTTTTACAAAATATGCTCACAAAATAAATTTGTTTAGCAAAAGTGAAGAAAAGAAATTCAAGGCCCAGTTCTTGTGACTTTTTCTCTGGATCTCCCACTTGATTTTCTTTTCCGTGGCAGCAACAAGTAATGCAATGTAAGTCCTGGTGGCCTCCCATGAAACGAGCAGCGGAAGTAATTTTTATTTTGCCAGACAATTTGCTTATTTTGTGATTTCCGTTTGCTTTTGCCTTCTGCTTTAGCTCTGCCCTGGCCGCCCAAATGGTCCAAATATTTCCGGCATTTAAATTTCGTTTCCCACTCTTCTAACTGTGTTGCTTCTTGGCTTTAATCCTTTGGATGGACTTGGCGCGAATTAAATTATGAACAAACACAAAAAGGTGATTACTATATACATACGAGTATATAGTACGTATAAATTTATAAAATCAATTTTTATATGTGGCGCCCGCAGCTGCTGTTGTTGTCGCGGTCGTTGTCGTTGTCAACAGACGTCGTATATTTGCATTACACGCCTGGCTGGCTGGCCACCAAAAAATTATTATTATTTTCGTTTTTTCCGCATTCAAATGCAGTTGCAGGCCGAGCTTATTGTCAACAAAAATGTGACCATTACGCTTCATTTCATTCGCGGCAACAACAATTTCAATATTGAATTGTAAATATAAGCCATTTTTTAATCAACAACAGGAGACAGATAAATGGTAATAGCCACAAAATAACTCTTCCGAAATACTCGTATATATTTTTAAATTAACATGTTTAAATAAATCATCATCAGCATAAGTTAAGTGTGCACATATCCAGTGCCAAATAAAAGGAAATCAATATCTAGTGCGGTGGAGTCCCCTACTGCCCTCCACATAGTATTAAACGATTTGTTTGCAGAAAATTCGATTTTTCGTAGCAAAAACATCTGATGTGTGAGGTCTGCACCGCCTGCTGCCTACTTGTATTACATTTATAACTTTGCACAAACACAATATATTATTGTGCTTTAAATCAGGTACTAAGTGTAAAAATTGCTTAAACACATAGAACTTTTCGCGCAGAAAAACAAAGTACCAGTTTGTTGTTGTTTCCTTTTCATTTTACAATCAAAATAGTTGTCAGTTGAGGTGCTTATGTTTTGGCACCACTTTTCCTTTTAAAAACCCATCAATTCTCATTTTTACAGAACTTTTAAAATCCCTTTTATCATAAATCATAAATCATACTGTATGTACAATTATTCTTGTCGAAAAAAATGCTTATATTGCATTAGGGGATTAAAGGATTGCCATATTATTTGAACAACACAGATTGAATGAAAATTAAATGAGATATACTTATTGATGTCATTTTGAAGAAAGTATGTTTAGGATGAGAACAATAATTGCTGAATTTTATGCTACCTTTACATTTTTTTATTTTCTATTGAAATGTTCATTTGATTGATTTGAAAATGTAATGTGTGCAGCTTTAAAAGTTCTTTTTTCAAATGTGGGTCTTTTTATTGTTGCAGAATTTGAATTTGTTTTTTTTTATTAAAAAACGTCCGCAATGCTTACTAGTGTTGCGCCGGAGTATAGCTATTAAAAAGCACAAATCAAAAATGAAGAGAATGCGAAATAGGCATGAACATATTAAAATATTTAGCAGCACTTCGCTCCAAATATATGTTGTACTCGTATATACTCAAGGGTGTAGGCAGCTTTTTTCAAAGGGGGGCCCCTAAAAATATACATTTTAATTCAGTAATGCAAGATACATTAAAATAAAAACTTATGGTTATGATCAATAGAAAAATTTCCAAAACCAACTTAGTTCCATTTTAAAGCGAAATAATGACTGTTTGGTCGACTTCATATTCCTACCTACGCCCTTGCATATATAGTTCTTGTAATTAAAGGATGTGCCATAATATTAAGGCAGCACAAAGCAATGGGGAGTGCAAAGCAGTGCTGTAGGGAGTTATAGTGTGGAGTATTGAAATACTTTTAGAATATACTTAATATTTGCAACGCTGTGCCATCGATAGATTATCCTCTCAATCGTTGCCCTACGTTTTATTGTTTTTTAAGTTTTTTTATTGCCATCCAAAGTCATTTAACAATAATCACGCGCATATGAAATGAAAATAAACATTGACCGATGCATCAATGAACGCACATATTGTACTTCTGTACGTATTTATGAGCCTGGACATGCATATATGTATGTACATATGTGGTGTGTGTACGTGTATGTGTGTGCGCGATTGTGTGGCTGAGTATGTGGACGTGCGTTCGCGGCCACCGCCGCCACATTTCATGGATGCCACTGCCGAACGGCCGGAAGTGTAGCCATTGTTGTGCGCTCATAAATTGCAAATGGCCAAATACCGTTTAATGGTCGCTGAACGCCGAATGCTGCCCGCAGCAGCAGCAGCAGCAGCAGCAGCAGCAGCGACAACAACAGCAGCAGTGGCAGTGGCAGCCGCCGCAGCAGTACCAGCCAAAATGCAAAATGCACAAAAATCTCCATCGGCATCGGCATCTATGTACATCGACATGGGCATCGTATTTCTCGTTATATTCCTTTTTGTTTACGACGCTCGTCGAGGACGATGACTACGACGACTTTTATTGCCTGCCACACTACTGTCCGCCACTGTCCTGGACTGTCACACATGCCCGGAAATCAACCGCGGCATACGGCCCAAACATTTGCATAAAGTGCCAGCCATCCAGCTAGCCAACCAGCCAGTCAGCCAGTCAGCCTGTTAACCAATCGCCCAACCCAACCCAGCCCAGTCAGTCCAAGCCCAAGCCCAGGCCCAAGCCCAGGCCCAGGCCCAAACCAGGGCCACTTGTTCAGCCGTTCGGTCGACCGATCCGCCAGCGGCCACGTTTTTGGCCTGACCAGCATTGGCCGATTCTCGATTTTTCCCACTGATTTTTCACATTTTTCAGTGCCAATTTTTTGCTGCTGCTGTTGCTACCATTCGGAGGCGCGGCAGGCAGCGCATGTTGTTTATGTGTTTATAGATTAATCGCTTTTTGGTTAAATGACTTCGATAGTCAGCTCAGTGACGGCCGCTGTGCGGCATCGGTGGCATCGGTGGCGGCGTTGGTGGCGATGGTTGTGCAGCGACCGCGCTGGTCCTGGACGTGCTCACATGTACCATGTGGCATCTCGAGGAGGGAGGGAGCGCTTTAAAGTTGCGGCACTTGCCGATTTTTGCTGTAAATTGACAAAGAGTGTGGGGCAGGTACCGTAGGTCTATTACGCCATATAGACGTGATAGAATATATCAATACACAAATGCATATAGATAGCTGGGAATAGGACGCATTTATTTTTTATTTGTTTATTTCTGTCAACAAAACGCTTCTTATAAGCTAGAAAAGCCTAAGAAGGAGAAATCTAATCAAATTACAATAATATCTAATTAACGCCTCCGACCTGGTGGGGGAATATTATTTCGCGTCTCGCAGCCAACTGTGGACAGAGGCGTCAATAGATCTACCGGTATAGAAAAAAAGAAAAACTTAACAGAGAGAAGAAGCTTAGAATTACTTAAAAGCTAATTAAGAAAAAAAAAGTGAGAAAAAAGAGTATACGCATACTAATGTGCTTTGATTCAGTAAATTTTTGTTCAAAAGTGGTTTAAGAATAACTGCGGTCGAAAGTACAACTTTTTTAATTTTTTTCGGATTAATAAAAATTGAATCAAAAAGTAGAAAATAACAATTGAAAATTATCTTTCTACACCAGCAAAAAACAATTTTTGAGGCCTGAAAAATGAAATTTGCAACCCAACATAAAAACAAAAATGAAATAAAATTTAATTTGTTATTTGTTTAGCAATAAATAGAAACAATTAATTTAGGTTGTGTTTTCAAAAAAATAATATGAATTAATTTCTTTTTTATTTTCAAATTAAAATAACAATTAGTTTTGTATTTTTTTCATATTCAATTTCTTAAAATTTATTTAATTATTAATCAATATTATCACATTTTCGTAATAATTTATTTTTAAACATCGTCTTAAGCTGGTGTGATTCAAACACAAAGATAAGAACAGCAGCAGTTGTTAGGCAAGCCTTCATATCTCATTCCCTTCCAATTTAGGAAGAGGAGGAAGTATGTACTCGTACTTACATGTACATACATATATTCTTACAACGCTCTTATCCCGTCCATTTGTACGACTGTCTGAATGAACGCCTAGATTTTGGAAACTGCTACGCCTTTATTGACCAAACTTGGTATGTAGAATGAACTTGTCCGCAGGCAAGCCGAATTTATTTGTTTTCCAGTACTTACCTTCTTTTCTCCCGCTACAGAATTTTGTCAATTCTGCCCACAACTTTGAAACTACATAAACTACACTTTCCTATTTAATTCTCTAACTAACAGATAAAAATGCATATAACGCAGGCTTGCTCGTCTGTATCATTCTCTCTGGTTTAACAACTTAAAATTATTTCCATAAATAAATACTTTGAACTGATAGCCACAACAACAAAATATATGCATTCTTAAATAATATTGTTGATATTGCTACGTATTCCAATAAAATGATTTATAGAGCAAATATAATCCGGTTGCCGAAGACCAGATAGATCCTTAACACTTATCTAAACACTTAGTTCTGTATTACTATGCAAATAAGCAACAAGTTTATTCCAATACTTGATATATTTGACTTGAATACATTCTACAAGTACATAAAGTATATGGACTTACAAATATGGTGTAATATGCTAAAAAAAATTAAGGAATGCATAAGTCGAATACATTATGATTACAGCCTTCTTTTGAGCTTCAACCGTTTGATAATGTTTGAAATTAATAATATTAAAAAGGAAAAAAAAATATATATATATATTTATCATTAAAGCTTAGGAAAATATTAAGAAAAGAAGAAACAAAACAACAATTAATAATTTCAATGTTCAACTTAACATAAATTAAATTAAT